CGCTCTTCCATTTTTATGTATTCTTAAATAACCGAAAAACCCTTCTCCATGTGATGAAAGATTTTCATAATTATCCTACAAATTTCAATTATTAACAATTTAAAATAAGGCTGAAACTTTAAAATAATATATAAAATTACTTACACTTTCTTTTTCATTATCTACAGGTTGAGTCTTGGAAGATTTTTGTGGCTTTGAAACATTTATTTTTGATTTAACAAGACTAGGAAACTCGAATAAAAACATTTTAGGACCTTGATTACATTCGAATGCAGGTTCTATAGATGGTTTTTCATTTTTAGTTATTACATTAATGTTTGATGCTTTTTCTGTTTTCATTTGAAGTGATTCAAATGTTTGATCGACATCTTCTAAATCTTTTTGCAATTTAACTATAAAGATATAATAAAAATATTTATTTAAAATAACCCAAACATAACCTATTTTAAAACCTATAATTAAAACCTATTTTAAAAAAATTAAATGTTAATTACTTACTATTGTACATCATAGGAAGACTATTAGGAATAAAATTAATGTCTGGAATTTGAGAAGAATCATCTACAAAATCATCTTTTAATATTGATTTTAATTTTAAATCCTCATCAGCTTTATGAATTACTTTATTTAAATTTAATTTCGGTTTGTCCATTAATTGTCTCTGAGCAGAAGAAACTCTTTCATCCGAACTATTTCCATATGCTTTTATTTTTCCAGGAGCTAAACCCTCTGAAAAAACTCCTTTGGTTTGTACAACATTAGCATTTCGCTTTTTAAAATTTTGATTTCTTTTATTTTTATCATCATTTTTATTCTTTTGGTGAGAATCTGTTCCTGAATTACTAACAACAGTTTCGCTGAAAAATAAGTATTATTATTATTAAATTATTTGTTTCATCATAAAAATATTAAAAAAATTTATATGTATCATACCTGGATCCTTTTTTACGAGTTACATTTACATTGGGTATATAGGTTCTTTTGGTACCTTTATTATTGGTACTAACATTAAAACTAGAATTTGCACTACCGGTTACCGAACCTGTTAAAAATAAATCTCTTGGAGGTTTGAAAGACGGCAATCTTGCATTTGTCACATTTTTTGTAGATAGTGTAGATAACGTTGAATTAGAGAGTAAAATCTTTTTAGCGGTAGAAGTGTTGGGTTCTTGTTTAATTGTAACATTGGTTAGGTATTTTTTTGCATCCATTGCAAATTAAAATTACTGATAACAAGTATTTTGAAATGTTATAAAATATTAGAATAATCAATAATTAATAAAATATATATTTTGTTAAAACATACGTTATTAAGAAAATTTTATTAAAAAAAAATGTGCATAACAATTTTTAAAATGTCATATTTCTTTAACCAATAGTATCGTGGCATTAGACATTTTTTTGGCTTAAATACCGATTTAATTTATATTTCTTTTTTTTTTTATAATTTCAACTTTAATTTTTTTAACTTTTTTATAATAATTAAAATTTTATCATATGAATCGATTCATTTCAAACCAAAAAATAATTCACCGACTTGTAATATAAATTAATTACTAATAGAATATTTAAAAATTTACGTATTTTAAACATTAAGAAATTAAATTTTTTGATCAAAAACTTTTCTTCAAAATTTTAGTTTTTTTCAATTTTCATTCGTAAGATTTTTTTATAAGGGTACAATTTAAAAAATGTTTGATATTTATTTTCGTTTGTTGAGTGATAAAAAAAATGTTTTTTAAAATCTTGAAATTTATTTATACGATTTATTTTTCAAATTATTACTGATGTAAATTTTTAACAAAATGTTCAGAGCTTTTAATGTATTAATTTTATACAAACTTTTAATAAGAATTTGAACGTGCCTTTAGAATAATTAACTTATTACACTGTAAAAATTTTTATTAAGCCTAAAAGATGTTTCAATTTACTTGTTGTATACTAAAATTGGTAATATTTTTTTAATGTTTAATGCTATAATGTGCAAAGCAGCAGATGGCAAAGCAAGAGGGAAACACTTGCCCTCAGCGATTCGTTGAAGAAATCGATTATGGTGAAATCGAGTTATTTGAGGTATTTGGTTTGATAATTAAATCACTGCTAAAATTTATTCGCAAGTATTTTTTTAAATCTTTAATTTTTTTTATTTTTTATTAAAACTTAACACTTGTTATGAGCTATATAATGTTTTTTTGTTTTTTTTAAATGCCGTAATTACCACAAAATTAATTGTTCTTGTGCCCGACACGTATAAAGTTTTGTAAAAAATTTTATATATAATTTTTCATAATTGCTAATTAATCTCTAAAATATTGATTTTAATATGTAATGTTATGATTTAAAGTTGAGTTCAACTAACTGGACAGCATATAATGTAAAATTTTGTGTTATGTTTTATTGCAATAAATTGAAAAATTTCTCAGGTTGTCGGAAAAGGTTCATTTGGAGTTGTCAGAAAAGGAAAATGGAGAGGAATTTATGTAGCAATAAAACATATTGATGGAATCGAAGAAAAAAAAGCTTTTGCAACGGAAAAAAATCAACTATCAAGAGTTTCCCATCCTAATATTGTTAAACTATATGGAGCTTGTACAATAAATCCTGTTTGTCTTGTAATGGAATATGCAGAAGGTGGTTCTCTATACAATGGTGAGCAATCAAATAATTTCAAATAAATAAAATATTTTTGTTTAAAATAACCACAAGTTTTAAAACTAATATCATATTAAAACATTGTTATTGTATATATATTTGGTACATGGTGTATATTTATTCCATTAACTTTTTAATTAAAATAAAATTTCAGTATTGCATTCGAAACCTGGGCCTATTTATACAGCAGGACATGCTATCAGTTGGGCTTTGCAATGTGCAAGAGGGGTTGCTTATTTACATAATATGCAGCCTCCATTAATCCACAGAGATTTAAAGCCACCAAATTTGCTTTTAGTACTAGGTGGAACTGTTCTTAAAATATGTGATTTTGGAACAGCATGTGATAAAAAAACTTACATGACAAATAATAAAGGAAGTGCAGCTTGGATGGCTCCCGAAGTTTTCGAAGGTAGCTTATTAATAAAGAAACAAAATTTTTTGTCTTCAGTAAATATCGAATCAGAAGACAAATAATTAGTTATTGCTTTGAAATCATGTATATAAAGTCTCATAATTGTACTTTTATTTTCATATTTACTTTCAGTAGTTAAGTAATACTTAATAATTTATTATTTACTTTTGTTTCCTTATATAATGATTTCAATTTTTTCCCAACTAATAAATTATATTAACCTTATACTTAATACTAATAAATTATATTAATTTTTCAGGTAGCAATTATACAGAAAAATGTGATGTGTTCAGCTGGGGTATTATTCTTTGGGAAGTTTTAAGCAGGCAAAAACCTTTCGATGAAATTGCAGGATCAGCTTTCAGAATAATGTGGGCTGTTCATACAGGGCAAAGACCTCCTCTTCTAGAAGGATGTCCAAAATGTATTGAAAATCTTATGAAAAGGTAAATATTTGTTTTAAAATTTAACTTTTATTTTTTTGTTGTTGATTTTATTGTATGATTCATTGTTATTATCATTCAATTAAGGAAATTTAAAAATTTACTGTGACTTTTAATGAATACTTTCATCAATTATTTTTCAAATTAAATTGAAGTATTAAAATTATTTTTTTTTTTAGCTGCTGGTCTCAAGATCCATCTTTACGTCCTTCTATGAATACAGTTAAAGATATTATGGAAGATTTAATAACAATGTTCTCAGGCTACGATTTGCCAGTAAAATATTTAGAAGACGATTACAATTACGGTAAGTAATTTATTGTAAGTTTATTTTTTATACTTTATAAATAATATTATTGTAAAACATCTTTAATTTATTTTGCAGAAGGTGAAAACGTGTCGTGCGAAGAGGACACAATAGAATTTCCTTCTTTTTCCCCAACCCCAGGTACTTGACTCTTTAATTATATTAAAATAATATATTCATTATGAAATTTATCTATGTATGATTACAATTAAGTTTTTTTTTTTTTTAAAAAGGACAAATCAACTCAGATGAGGGTCGAGATGCTGTGGATCACCACATAACCAAAACATGGGAATCGTTCGATTCGAAACTTACCACTCCTGTTCATTTAAATATAGATACAGTGAGTGAAATTTTTTTTTTTTTCTTATTTGTCTACAGCACTCAAAAATATGAAAATATTAAAACGTTTTTTTTTTTTTTTTTTTTTCAGGATGATTGGTCACCAATAAGTGATGACATGCTCGAAGAATACATAGAAAAACCTGATAATTTCAAAAAATGGGCTCGTGATACAAATAATAAGACCACCTTTGTCGAAGGTAAGATGAAAAAATTTATTTAATAATTTTATTAATGATTTATTTAGCAAAAACAATAACACGTGGTTGTCGATTGACTCGAATGATTTTATCGTTTATCTCATTATAACATTATTTTTTTTTTTTTTTATAACAAAAGTCCTCCCCCCGCTCCCCTAATTAAAATTATTAATTACACACAATTAAAATAAATTAGTTGGGTTTTAAATGAAATAATTAATTATTTCTTTTTTTTTTTTTTTTTTTAATTATTGTGTGATAAATAATTTTTCTTGCGTTTGTTTGTTGGTTGGGAGGGAGGGAGGGGAAGGGGAGAGGGGAAAAAGAAATTAATTTTAAAATATTTTTTTTTTTTTTTTTTTAAAGAGATTGTCATTTAACTAAAATGAAATGAGTGTGACTCGAAATATTTTTACTTTAAATATATTAAATGACTCCCCCGCTCGTTTATCTAAAATTAGATTATTTTAGTCAAATTAAAATTAGAAGATTAATAAAAAAAGAGAAAAAATAAATTTTTTTAATTTCTCATTATAATCGTTCGATCGATCTATCGATCCATCGATCCATTCGATGTTTTTTTTTTTTTTTTTTTTTTTTTTTGAATTAAATTTAGATAAGATCGATTGCGTAAAATCAAAATTTAATTAATCGAACGATTCGATTCGATTCGATTGATATTTATTTACAACGTTCGACATACTTGAATTTCCCCCCCCCCCCCTATTATTAGTACGTTAGTTTAAAATTAAATTTAAATTTAAATTTAATTTTTTTTTTTTTTTTTTTGATTAGGGACATGAAAATTTGATAAAATAAATTATTTATTATTATCTAAGCCTCATTTTTTTTTTGTGTAATTTTATTAAGCAGAGAAGAAGAAGGAGAAGGAGAGGAAATGAAATGATTTTTAATTAATGTTTTTAATAAGAGAGAGAGAGAGACCACACACACACACGCACACGCACACACAGGTCAAAGCGAACCCTTAACAAAAATAAATAAATAAAAAAAGAAAGAGAAAAGAAAGAAAAAAAGTTTAGTTGTCTACCACTTTCTTATTTCTCATTAGCATGTGTGAAAGTATTTTTAGTAACTATGACTCACATGTGATGGTGCTTCTTTATTTTTCCTGCATTTGTGTCTTTGACTCCAAACATTTACTGTTTTTTTTTTTTTTTTTTATATATATATATTTAAAAACAATTTGTTCAGTTTGTGAATGTGTGTGTATGTGTGTATAAACTTTTTATAATTATACTTTAAAAAAAAAATTAGTTT